GGTGGCAGCCCGTACTGGTGCAGTGACTGGGCGAGGCACAGAGGCTGCGGTGGGGGAGGTGCAGGGGCTGGAGGGTTTGGGGCATTTGGAAGACGGTTCGGGGCAGACGGGGCTCCTGGGCTGACAGGCGGGACCGCGTGGTGACGGTCTGAGCTTCAGTTTGGAGGCGGGGCTTGGATCTGCAGGGGCGTGATGAGGAGATGAGGATGGAGTCAGAGCTCTGCGATGGACCTGCACACCCTGAGCCCCCGGGCTGGGAGACTGTTTGGAGGAACTTCCCACAGGTGTGGAGGGCAGAGAGGAGGACCCTTTGGTGGTGAGGGGCAGGGGCAGCTGGGTGGGCTTCCTGGGCAAAGAAGGTGTCCCCTGGAGGTTCTTCCTGGGCGCAGAGGCGGAACCTTTTCTGGGCAACGTGGGCGTGCCGGCCGGGGAGGCGGTGTAGGACCGACACGTCTGACCTGCGGCGGTCACAACCGGCTTACAGGCCAAGCCGGAGGAGGATGAAGATGATGAGGTGGAGGAAGAAGAGGAGGACGAGGAGGAGATGAGGTTGTTGACAGCGGCGAGGGGGTCCATGTCAGGAGGTGGGGGTGGAGCTGCATTGCCATGGTGACCTCCCAGGCCGGGAGGGCCTTTCTGGAAGGCCAGGATCTTCTGCTCCAGGGTGGTGAACTGCAGAACCCGCAGGGGGTCGTATTTCATCAGGAAGCCGCGCAGCGTGTCCCAGCCGCCCCCGACGCGCACCATCACATGTTTACCGTGAAGCATCTGGAAAAGTGGGGGGGGGGAGAGATAGGTAAGAATATTAGAAATCAAAAATCAGCAGTGCCGTATTCCTGGAGGTTCCCGAAATAGCTGCTGCTGATCCACAGATGAGTGCGTCTGGCTCGAGGCTCGGCACCGTGGACAGCAGTGTAATGATGATGTAATCACCCAACGCTATCCGCTGCTCTGGAGTAACGAGCTTACATGTGTCCAATCACAGCCAGACAGTGATGTAGTGAGGATTCTGCCAGAGCTCTCACACTCACACACTCACACACACACTAAACTGATTATGTGCTTCTGATACACACACATTGACCATCGCACTTTAGGTATACAGTTTGTTAAGTACTCAGATTACTGGAATTCTATTTTAAAAAATGCATCAAGGCATCTAAAATAGTGTTACTTCACAGACTCCAACAAGGGAATATCCTCCCAGCTTGGCTCTGTCAACAGTGAGGTCAAAGGTCAGAGGACTGCACATCGTCCTGGTTGATGGTCCAGCCTGCTCTTCAACAGTCTTCTATTGTCTACAGATCCTGACATCCTTTTTCAGCCATTTCTGCTGAACTGGATTCTACGCTCAGAATAATAATTCTATATAAGAATATGAGACCCTGGCATGTGAAATGATGTGCCTAAAAGCTGTGACATGACCGGGCTGCTACTTCTGAATGAGACAACTCACTGAGCGTCCAGATTGCAGAGAGTGAGCACGTGTGTGTGTGTGTGTGTGTGTTCAGAGCACTCACCCGAATAAAGAGGGTCTTGTCTCCCAGTCTGTAGCGTCCCTCAGACAGGTACTCAATGGAGACCCTGTTGGAGCAGTTGCAGGGCGGGTCCTCCATGCCGTGCTCCTACAAGGGACAACAAGAGGACCATAAGGCGGCCATATTGGAGGTCCCACTGGCAGCAATATTGGATTCTCTTTGCAAACGAATGAAGTTATTCTATAAACTAACATTTACAGTTGGAAGATAATTCAGTTTAACCTCAGATGGATGGAGAACAAAGAGAGGCATTTAAGGACCTCCAGTTTTTGTGGTGCATTAGTGAGCAATAATGCAATTACCACTGAATGAAGCAGTGAGACGGTGAGTGATGAAGAACTGGAAGCTGCTGATATGAATGTGTGAAAGGAAAATGCATTTGGGAACAAATATACTGGCTGGTAGATGCGTTTCCAAACTGCCTTCCACTTCGAGGAGTGCGGTTATTTTTAGTGCAGCTGTCTCCTCTGGGAACAAAGCCCCCAGCCCTGACAGTGTCAGAGCCTCGATTTACCCACTGGGGGAATAAACCCACCCAGCACTGACAGTGTTAGAATCACAGTGTCCATCAGGAAGGATGTCTAACAGCAGCTGATGGAGGAGCGTCTGCACTGTGAAAGAGATGAAGTATTTACACGAATGGGGAGTTCATGGGCGTGTGTACTTATGGCTGTATGACGGCACGTATCTGCAGCCCGGAGGTCACGCGTGACGGCGAGTCACAGGGCGCCGGCAGAGAGTCACGTGGTCAGCTGTGATGCGTCATACCCCGTGGGGTGCCAATGGAGCGGCAGGAGCCTCGGCTCGGCTTCAACTGGGTCGCACATGTACCACCTATGTGGCGCTGACGTGATCAGCTGTAGCCTTCACTTTACATCAGTAGTTTTCTTTTTGCTCGTTTGTGTGAGACTACACGAGGTAGTGTTTTTTTGGGGGGGGGCAGTAACTTGACCGGCTAAATGGGGTGGGGCATTCTCGTTCCACACTTCCTGCCTCCAGGTGGAAAGTGTAATGTTCTGTGTGTTTAAAAACATGGCGGTGTTTATTTCCTGTTGGTATGTTGGAGCCGTCAGTCAGAACTCACCCCCGGCTGGTAGAGGCCGCCGTGCTGACAGCACACAGTGAAGGTTTTGACGGCCGGACGCGGCTCCTCCGTCATCAGCAGGGTCTCCTCCAACTCAATCTCCTTCTCCAGCTTCACCAGCACAGGAGGCTCCACGCCGTACCTGAGAGACACACACAGCGGCGTTCACATGTGCACCTCTGGCAATAAAACGCTAAACCCATCTTAAACTCTGTGTTAATAATCATCTGAAGCGGCTTCTTCCGCGCTGTGGGACTTACTTGGAGACGATGCGGCCGATCTCCAGCAGACAGAGACAAACCTGCCGAGGCTCCTTGTGCAGCACTGAGGAAGAAAACACAACAATGAAGAGACTTAATGAATAATCTGAAGAAGCAGCTGCCTCTTCTGAAGAGCAGGATGGAAGAGGAGAGCGATGCTGGGTGACGTTATGAGCACATAAAATGAATTTAATATTCCCAGAGGGCTGGTCGGGTGACTCATGCAGAAGAGAAGAGCAGTTTTAAGTGAAGAGCCCAACTTTAAAGGATATTAATTAAACTAAAATATAGTGAAGAAGAGACTCGTTTCCACTCCTGGAACAGCAGAGACGTATGGCTTTCTTCTTAAATCGCTCCAATCCGGTTTTTTGGAGAGCCATTACTTGTAATGATGTGATCCCCCATACAGAGTACTCAGGGTGATTGCTCTCCACAACAGATCCTATTAAACCATTAAGCAGTAAGGCTTAAACAGCAGAGCTCTGCAAAGTTATCAGGAGCTTACATCCACAGTCTGTTTACATCCTCAATAGGAAGCCCAACATTAGCTCCAAAAGGTGTGGGCTTCATATAAATATATTATATTATCAGTTACACTTCAGTGGCATCTCTGCCTCTTTCTACCTATCTTTAGAGTATTCTCACTCAAGCACTACTAACAGTAAAATGTTCCAAATCATACGCATGAATGAGGTGGGTAAATACATATGTCGCAGTGTTTTGTACAAACCTGCAGCTAGACCCACATCCTAGTTAATATGGATTATTTGTTTGGTCTCGACCAGGACTCTGGTGTCTTATTTTTACTTGGTCTCAACTTCCTTTTGGCCTGATTTGAAAACTTCCTGGGACTCAACCAATGCTCGCTAAAGAAATAAAACTTAAGAGGAATTATTTTTTCCAGTAGGTAGACAGTGGCCAAGCACATGCAGGAAAACTCATCACGATACTATTTCCAAAGGTTTTTCAATTCAATAGCATAGCGTGGCTGGTGTCACACAGGTGTAATAAAGTTATCTGGACACTCTGTTGCACTTCGATCCCCTGGAATTAAAGATTTACCAGAACATTTTTCTTGGATAAACAAAACTCTTACTTACTGGAATTTATTATGGTTATATAAGAGGAAGGATTGTGACAAACTATCTCAATCTTTGCACCAGAAGTGGCACTTTAATAAGTTACTATGGGTTCTTGTAGTACCACAACTGAGATTTATGTGTACAACAAGGTCATATCAGCCAAAAAACAATGTTCTTGCTTCCTAAAATTCAGAAGGATTTTAACAGAGTTAAGACTGCTGTACATGAACTGATAGAACTAGAAATGATGAAGTTACTCCAGAATCTATGAGAACAGTCTACAGTTGCAGTGATATCTGCTGCAGCTCTTACCGAGGCCCTCAGACTCAAACAGGTAGGTCTCCTCCACACCGATGTGGCGACACCAGGCCAGGAAGTTGGCGGTGTTGTCGCGAGCGAAGAAGGAACCGGGAGAAGCGTCCCGCTTACATGCAACCTTCCTCGTGGGAAACAGCTGTCAGGAAACATAAACTCTATGAAGCATCACGGGACTTGTATATGTAGTTACGTGAGTGAAAATGTGAGAATATAGACAGGTTTCTGATAAGGTCATTATGAGAACACATTATACTCTCAGTAAATGGTCTATTTCTTACAACCTGCTAGAGCTAACTTTGTCCTCTTTGCATTATTACTGCTACTGCCGGCTGTGGTCACTGGAATCCCATGTGTCAGGTTAGCTTTAAACACGTAAACTGTATCAAACATTTGTAGAAAGTGGCAAAACTCCACCTGGCAGTCCCTGAGAGTTCACAGTAAACTGAACTTGAACAAATGAAATTAGTCAGAGTTTTGTCCACACTGGGACCTGCAGAGCCCTCCCCAAACATCCCCCACATGCGAGCATGCAAGCTGCCCTTTGGACGATCGTCCGAACTATTCTCATCGCTGCTGTCTGACTCACCTTGCAGAGTGCGGAGGGGCAGCTCTGGGCGATCTTAGTCTGCAGCACACCGATAAGCTGGCACAGCTTCACGCCGTTATTCAGCTCCTCCATGAAAAACTCTGCTCTCACCTCCTCTCCTGGACAAACAAAAGGGAAAAGACACAGAATAAATTGTACAGCACAATGCAACTTATCCGCCTTTTTATCTGCATTAGTCCTTTATAAAAGATGTCCTCACTTTTGGGTTTTTTTGCACATCTGCAATAAAATAAATCAAATCGATCAATAATTCTTCTTCACTCTATGGTGGCTTTTGTTGTAGGACCTTGCAAAAACACTTCACATTGACAGTTCAACAGAGCACCCCCCCTACAAGCTCCTCTAGGACTTATGGCACTCCCACGACCCCTTATTGTAAATCACCGCCCCAGGAAACTCAACAAAGGCCATGTGAACTGAATTTACATTGGGGACTAAATCCACAACAGCTATAACATTAAGTGACAAAGATTTCTCCACAAAAGTTTATTTTCCACACAACAACGGCCGAGCCTCGAGGCTAAACTTTATCCGTTGCACGCCACCTGTTTCTGCACTATCTGGCCCCTCAGGATTGACTATCAGTTGGGTCATCACGGTCACGGTACCAGTAACTCATGTTGAGGGTTGAGTACTTGCCCACATTCCTCATGAGAAAATGTCTGCTTATAAAAAAAACCAACAAAAAACGGTTTCACCAGTCAACAATAGAGTCAGTTTCCAGTCAGCTTCAGTTTCCTCACTGCTCCATTGTATCGTAAGGGACAAAAGATGTCAGGATAATGGTAGAGACGAACCAAATGGGGGATTTTGTTCCACTCCTGTTTCTGTGGTTTGCTAAGGCCCGGTTGTAAATAGCAGCATCCAAATCCAATTACATGGGAGACCCGTGTCAATTGTGCTTTGGTATTTTCCTAGCCTTAAGGGGCAAACTGTTAGCATGCAACTGCCCAGTGATGATTGCCATATGCACAGCTTTAAGCACATTTACTCTGTTGTATGAATACACGTACCTACATCAGAAAAAAAAAAAAAAAAAAAAGGAACATCTGTTTTACCCAAAAGATTTCAAAACAACATAATACCAAACAGTCAGAGGTGAAAATAAAACAGACGAAACGAGACTAAAACACTAAAAGCGGTACTTTGTGGCTGACACGCAGCACTTACCCAGCATGCCGGTGAGCCAGATGGCCAGGTCCTCCTGCATAGGTACCAGGGTGGCCTCATGTCGCACTGCAAGCCACTGGTCGTACTGGAAGACGTCTGCGAGGCCGGGGCCGTGCCGCTGCGCTAGTGGGCTGCGAGGGCTCCTGGGGCTCAGCAACGGGGCATCAAACCTTTCACCGAACCATACCTGGAGACGACGAGGAGGAAAAGTTGAAGGATGTTTAAATGGAAGACTTCCATCCCCGATTGAAAGAAACATTTGTAACCACGTATGTGTGTAATCAAAATCAACGAGGTCTTGAAAAAAAATGGCAGCAACTTCCAAGATCTCAGAAGATGATAACATTAATATGATGTACATCATTTCTTTGTGTGACTCAAAGGATTAGAAACACTCACACAAAAAGCCTGACAGAATGTTATAACAGATTAGTGTGGCTGCCCACTTATTGAGACATCTGCCTAATCTGATCTACTCTCAGTTAGTCATGGTTTTAAGATATTCAACTTCAAAGGAACATTTCGGGAAATACACAACTCTCTTGGTGAGAGTTAGATGAGAAG